CCACCTCCCGCAGCCCTATTGACACCCGCCGGTTCAGCCCTGGTTAAACTCGCAGGCCTCCCTGGTGAGACCCGCTTGCAGCCCTGGTAAGACCCCAAACATCCTCTTGAGACCGCGCACAGCCCTGGCGATACCCCCCACATCCTCCTGAGACTCCGCACAGCCCTGGTGAGATTCCAAACATCCTAAGACCCGCAGAGCCCGAGGTGGCATTAAGGGTCTGATAAAGCCCAGATGTCTTCTTAAAGAGAATCTATCACCTTCAGGGTTACCTACTGCTTTCAAAGGGTTAAGGTGACCCTGTAACTATACGGTCAAAACAGCAATACCTGTAGAAAAAAGAGGCAATATAGTTACCTTGCTGGTGAACCATTTCTTGAAAGATCACTACCTCCCACCACACAAAATGGTTTCTCCAGCTGCCTAATACATCATAACAGGACGTACGAAACAGTGATAGGAACCACTGCATGTGACAGGAGAAACAGGTATTTAATTAAGTTAGCCAGCTGAATACTTGTTGTGGCTGGGAAGTAGCATCAAAAATCACATTACAAGACACAGGAAGACAAAGGGAGGGAAGGGACGGGTATATGACTAGAGTCCTTCACTGTCGCAGCTCTTCACCCCCTCAGTGTCGGAAATATAGTGCTGCTGTACATTCTGGAATGAGTAATGCTAGGATTCTGGAACTAACCTGCGTTGATCCAGATCTAAGATTACCGTCATAAGATGTAACTTGTTTGTATAGAGCAAGAAAAGAAAAAAACCTTGAGTTCAGCTTTAGGTATAATATTAATGCACCGTGGACAAAATTGGAAGTAAGTACTGTGTTTTTTCTTATCATCTATAACTCCAGGTGAGAGAAGTATCAGCTACTTATTGTGCCTGGAGTTGCATTTAAGCAAAGTAAGAAGCATAACCAGAGGAAATAACTTTATTCATTGTTATCACAGAATACATTATTACTATAAAAAAAACTAAACAAATCATGTTGTGTAAAAGCACATCATCTAAACTGGCCATCTAAATACATATTTTTTTTATCAAAGATGTATCATTTCTTTACAGTACAGTAAGAAGATAAACATTATACTACTGTACATTGATCAGTGGGTGATGTCTTAGAAAAATAGATGCACATCAAAAGGTGCTGCACAGTATCTAATCAGATTTGAACAATCTGGGGTACTTTTCTCTTATTCAACAGCTGTCTTAAAGAGAATCAACAATGACACATGGGAGCTACCATTGGCAAATATTTTAAGACAGAAGGTTTGGGGTTGTCAGCCTCAAAATTGATTCTCTAATTAGTAAGCCATTAACTGGAACACACAGGCAGTCTGAGTTTCTGACTAACTGGTAGTATGTTTGTTACCAGTCAGTGACTCACTAATCAAAGAAGAAAAACAAGACACATTGGCAATGGCAGCTCAAAAAGTTTTATCCTTGCAAGTTCAATATCCCTACTGTGTTCCTGAAGATGATCAATACTAGAGGCAACACCAAATGGTTACTTATCTTATTCTTTTTTTATTATTCTAATTTATTTGAAAAGTTAAAACTTGAAATAATGCATTATTGTTGTTATACAGATTGCAAGTGGAACGGAAAACTTTTTTTTTCAGTCATGGATGGTGTAAGAGAAGGTTATAACCATTGTCAACCTTTTTTTGCAGTTTGCGTCCCTGTATTATTATTATTATACAGGATTTATATAGCGCCAACAGTTTGTGCAGCGCTTTACAATATAAGGAAGACATTACAATCACAATACAATTCAAGACAAGATGGGAAGGAGGGCCCTACCCCTGAGGGCTTACAATCTAAAAGGGTAGGAAGATTTCCTTTCACTTCAATGCTTAACAGCCACAAAAGTGAGGGGAATGCCTGGTGGTCAGCAGCAGGGTCACCAGAACTAGTGTCCTATTGGAAGACTTCCAATCTATTTCTGTTCTGATGACAACCCAAAATATGGGATTTTCCTTCACTTTCAGTGATAAGGGTCACTGGGACAAATAGAGAGAGTGAATCTCCCTAATGGGAACACAGTGAGCAATAAAAACTTGACAGGAGTTCCAAGTTCTCTCCACTCTATCCAAAACTAAAAAAAAAAAATGTTGGCTTCAGTTCAAACTTAAGCCAGTAATAAACGTAATCTATAATTTAGGAAATAAATCTTTTAGTCAGTAGAAACACACTATCCTTAGATAAACAACCTGTAGCATTTCTACCACAACCAGCATCTACATCAGGGGTAAGCAACCTCAGCACACTAGCTGTGGTGAAACTACAAATCTTATCATGACTCCCAGTGGCAGGCACATGCCTGTGGCTGACAGAGTATTACAATGTCTCGTGGGATTTGTAGTTTCACCCAGGGCCGGTGCTGCCACTAGGCAAACTAGGCAGCAGCCTAGGGTGCACTGCTGCCTAGGGCGCAGACTCAACCACTCACCCACCTACGGTGCCCCCCTCTATTTCAAATTGCAAAAGCCAATAGCAGGCTGGTTTTTGCAACCGCCCACTGAGCAGAGGAGTGGAACTGAGAGACAACTTTCTCTCTCAGGTCCGCTCCTCTGCTCAATTGCTGGTGTTTCAATAGCCAGCCTGCTATTGGCTATTTCAAATTAAAATAGCCAATAGCAGTCTGGCTATTGTCCGGGCTGCTTACATCCATATATTGCCCATGGAA